ATGGCAATTTATTCTTGATACTATTTTAAACAATTTTAATAGCAACGTTCACCAAAAAGTTTAATGGCGTAAAAACTGTGCAAACTTAAAAATACGTTATAATAAAATTATCTGTAAGTTCAAAGTTCTGTCAGTGAACTACGAGACCACCCCGTTGCAGAAATCATCTAGCCATACTTCGACAGATAAAATTAAGGTAAGAGTGTTAATGTTTATAAAAAGTTTTGTGTATTATTTAACGATTTAACTATAAATTAAGGTAAATCTCATTGAAACGTAAATGTTTTTGCATGTCACATTTATTGGTACTCACAAACCCCTACTTGACCTAGTGCCCGGTAAATTCGTATATTTTTTACCGGTTATTGGTACACTATCAACCCGGTAACATACGTTGCACCGACCCGGTATTGTATCCTTATTGCTTTGAAATAGGTCTCATCTTCCTTTGAATTTTGTTTATATTAAATATTTTCTGCCGGATACTAGTACATGCATTAACAGTTACATTTAAATCCGTTATGGTCCTTAATGCCTTAAGATAAGTATTGTTTTCCGTTAACTCGATAGAATGTAGTTAGTAGCACCTTATTTGTTTTGTTACCACGTGCATTTGGTTGCTTTTGCGTTTTTCTGAATGATTTCCTAATTTTTGTATAGTTTGCGTTACAGCTCTGCTGCTCTAAAATCAGTTTTTTTTAATGGTGCGCACTTTCAGTACATTAATAGGAATATTGACAACTGGGCAATATTTAAAAAAATGTTTCGGAAGTCAATGGTAATTCAATTATTTAAACATGGTTTTGGAGTTCAACAGAATAGTGGCCGTGTATTTTGTCAGCAAAGTTCACCGTAGTATAGTACTCCTTGACAGTAGTTGAAATTGTAGCAAGGGCGAAAAAGCTCTAGTTATTTCATTTATTTGAATATTATAATAAATTAATTATGCTTTGCAGTTCGAGTCTTGACAAATGGTAACTTGTGTGCAATTTTCAGTACAAGTTTTGTCATCGTTGACAAAATTTGTTAGATAAATATGTATCATTATTTGGAACTCCACCTGTCGACATTTTCATACGCCAGTACTTTCCCATATTTCTTGCATAACTTTCACTTTTATTCATAAGTCACTAAACTCACGTGTCAGTCAGACCTGTGAAGTTATCAGGTGACAAAAAATCGTTGATAGGAACTAAAAATTGTCTCAAAGCCGTAGAGCCATAATTGAAACTGACTAAAGGTAAATTAATTTGCATATTTATCTGCCTTAAACCTTAATAATTTTTCGAGGGATCTATACCTTTCGAAGTTGGACTTCTGGTGTCCGTAAAAAGCTTCGAGCTGCTTGCTTGCTTGAGTTGTCTCATAATAAAGTACTCCGGATTTCCTAAACTAACGCATTGTTTTGTGTTTAATTTTGGGCCAATTGTCGGCTTGCTTCTGTATACTGCTGTATGATTACTTCAAACCAGTGACAACCTGGTCTGTCTGGGTTTTCTTGCTCTATTTTTAACACTATGTAACATCTGCGCTTTAGTTACAAGAAATGGCTACTGGTTGGCATCAGCTAAAATTGAGAAAAGCGAAAAAAAGCTCGGTGCTTTGATTTTTAAATAATTGAATTACCACACTTTTGTGACAAATATGTTTGAAAGTTTGTATTTTTACTATTTTATACCTATTGATTCGAAATCAGAAACTAGCAAATAACGTTTTAATTTTCTTTCAGGTAGCCTGAGAAACAAAAGGCCATGGACGCAATTAGAAAAGGAGCCCAATTTCAGCTGCAGCTAGACAGTATAATATTCCACGGTCAACGTTGGACGACAAAATACGCGGGCACTATACGCGCACTACAGTTTTATCAAAAGAAGAAGAAGATCATTTAAGTAGATGAATAATTCTCATGGCAGATAGTGGTTTCCTGTAACTAAGGCGCAGTTGTTAGATAGCGTACTTTATAAAAAATTGAAGCGAAAAAACCCTTTTAAAAATGGCAGACCAGGTCGTCACTGGTTTGAAGCCTTATTTAAAGCGACACCCTGAAGTAGGCCAGCGAGTAGCCCAAAATCTAATGCAAACTCGTGCTTTAGTTCAAGAGAGCAGTTTAAGATCGTGGTATAAAGAAGTGGAAGAGTATTTTATTATGGTACACCTTGAGGAAGCCATTAATTCTATTTTAAAATGTAAAAATTAAGTTAGTGATGTTTTTTTTACCAAAGGTTACTGAAGATGCAATTAAATATGTTACTAGTGTTAACCAATAATTTATGTAATTTTTTAATTACAAAAATTAAAACAATTCATGCCTTTTTTGTTAAATACAGATCCTAATTGTTTTCACTACTCTTTTTATTTAAAAATATTTTATTTATGTGAACTTTAACGTAAAGCAATAGAGTTCAAATTTGCAGTTAAAATTGCCGGATTTTGGGACAATTAAACGTTAACTAGTACAATTCTACCGGATACTGGTACAGTTGGCCCTTTTTGTACTTTTTTTGTTTTATTGTTAGTTAACATTTCCATATATTTAATAGAATTATAATATACTAAAAGTATACTAAATTATCTAACTAGTCATATAAAATTTATTTTCATAAGTCTACTTGTTTCAGCCTAGCGCGCATGCAAAGTCAGGGAAGTTCAAAACTTCACGGTTATTGGGCCGTTTACCTTACACCGTTTTTTCTAATTTCTTCAGCAGATATTCGACGTTATTTTAAAACATATAAAGTACATTTTCACTATCAAATCGATTGAAGTCGTCTCGTAGGTGGTGACTTAACTTTTCTACTAGTTACCTGGCCCGTTGTTTCCCTACAGTGTTACATTGTGCACATACTCTTCTAAATTGTTCCACTTGTATCCATTCTTGCACCAATCAGTAGTCAAATGCAAACTTCAAGAACCTGCAAACTTCTACTAGATAAACGGGACTCGTTTAAAGAAAATATGGGGAAAATATATTCAAAGTCCATGCCGTTAGCAAAATATGTCACATGAAGACTATTGTGTAGACTTACTTACCAAAATTTTTCTTTTTGGAGTAAAGTAAATCGAACCTTAATGCATTGGGGACAAGGACTTTATTAATACAAGTGAAAGTGTTGGAACATCCAGTTGTGCAACTAGATCTGTAGCTAATAGACCGGTAGCCAGAATAGATTGAAGTGTCAATGGTACATTATAGAACATTGTCATTCGCGGTTGAGCATGTTTCTACTTTCTACGGACCACCTAAATGGCTTTATCTCTTCGTGACAACGCGCAGTCATCAATCCTCCCAGCTCATTCTTTAAACTAGTGTTGGACAATGTCGACTAAATAATATCGATTGTTAATAAACGGTAGTATTTTTTTAGCTTATGACTTTTATGATTTCATACTTAAAAAGTAAATATAGTACATAAAATCGTATGTTTCTAAATGAAACTTGTTGACAAACTTGGGATAGAATTTAAATCGTCGTATTTCATAATCAAAATTGCAATTTAATTGTTACGATTAGATCTAAAGAACAACGTATTTAACAATATTAAATGCCTCATAATATCATTGAGACGATTAGTCGAATCTCTAATTGATAGCTCTTATGATGAGACAAATGAGTACACACGGCTACACATCGAGCTTTACAAAACCAGTATAAATTGAACGTTAAATGTGCGGAAAGATGATGCGATGCGACACCAGGATAAACTGGTTTTGTATAGATTGATGTGTGGCCGTGTGTACAAAACCAATTTCTTAAGGTGGTTCCTTTGCCAACTGGCATGCTCTATTCACTTAGTTAAATGGATCTGCAAATTATTCATCTAATTCATAACAAACAATTCCTCTTTAATTACTGAAACCAAAATGATCAATAATTGCTCGGTTAAATAGCATGACATTAATTTCTTAAATAATTACTAGTAGATAATTAGTTTTACCTATAAGAAATTAAAAAAGTCTTTGATGATTATGTGTTCATTATTTGGTATATCATATTGTATGTAATTACTCAAAAATGATTGTTGTCTCTCTTTCGTTACCGAGTCACATCACTATTCGAGGGGCAGGTCTCGGGCGGACTCAACAATTAGTCACAACAGGAGTTAGTGGCTAGTCGTGAAAAATCATTTGTATTTGTACTACTACCACATTTAATAATTTCCTCATTTTAGTTCACAAAATTATTTTTTTATAATATTTGTGTGCTTTAAACATTACTATGTATCTTACCATGTATTAGTACCCAATCGTATCAAGTGACAAATTATTTAATTATAATAACGGATTTTAGGAATTTGAATGCAATATGCTTACAATGTCTAAATAGTATTCATAAATAATTTGTACTTATATCCATGTAGGTTAAAACCACAAAGTTATTGAACTTTTCGCTTTTTCCGGACAATCACCAGTCGATCGCCACTTCAGGGCCAAGAAAGAACGGGCATCTAAATTTGGCGTAAGGCAACATCGGCCGCCATGACGTGGGGGGCGGGGCCAATGCGCGGCCGCGCGTGATTGGTCACTAGATTCGCGCACTCTTGCGCCGTCTTTGCTGAATCCTCAATGTGAACGTTATACAACTTTGAATAAAGTTGGCCAAATTGTCTAGATACCGAATATGACCGTCATAAACTGTGCCTCATTCGTTTTTCCTTCATAAGCATATTTAGTAGGTACCAGTAACAGCGGATCAGAATGTTGTGCCTGCGACGCGATGGCTGAGACAGTCACGCATTGGCCAAAGAACTTGCTAATTACAGATTATATCTGCTCTTCGGAACGCTCAACGGTGGGCAAGAACGCAATCACGTGCCACAAAAACAGGACGGTCAGGAATCCAGCTTCCGCGTGCAATGCAGTCGGACGGAAGCCAAGATTGCCACAAAATTTGGATCGTGCTGAGGGTTTTTCTCAGCAATATTTTTGTTTTGCGAAGCTGCGCGCTTGCTAGCGTTGTTTTTTATACTTCCACATACCAATGGTCATATTTTTGTTCTCAGGTTTGGTTCCAGAATGCCCGGGCCAAGTGGAGGAGGATGGTGACCAAACAGGAGAGCAAGCTCTCCGACAAATGCTCCCCAGATGCTTCTCTCGATATGGACCTATACCATGGTCAAATGGGGTCGATTCAGTCGTTGCCACCTCACAGCCCACCATACAGCGTAATGGGAGGCCCACCGAGCCCGAACTCCATGGATTGCCCCTAGCCTTCATTGAGCGCCTTATGAGCGCCATAAACCTTAATCCGTGTGGTACGCCAAGCCGCACTATGCGGAGGGGTGTGCCAGCTGCCTCCTACGAGGCAAACTTTATCACGACGACAACAATCAAAACAGAGAATAAAAACAAAAACAATAGACAATCGAAACAGACATGTTTCAGAACTACTTGTTCGTCGAATTTATTCCCATCAACAATTTATTCCAAATCCGGGTTCTCCAGAAATTTCACAGTATCAGAAATACGAGCAACTTGATGAAATGGAATTAAAAGTAGAACCTGATAAGTATAGTCCAACTCCTTTTGCAATGCCAAATTTACCCCTAAATTCTCCCACTTTTGGGGAAATCGTTAATCGTAACTCTACTTGGCAAAATTTTATACAACCCACTCAGGAACAAACATTGTCAAGTCCAATTCGACAGAATAATCTTCAAAGTTATCAGGGTAGTTACAATGAGCAAAGTCCTCACTCTTTTGACAATTATAAAATGTTTAGTTCTTCTCCAAGTTCTTCACATCCCAATCCTGAATCAGGGATGATAGGACAAGATAATGAATATTTCTCACGTATAAACGAAACTCCATGGCAGCAACAGTTTCATGTCAGTCCAGCAAACCAAGTTCTAACTTCACAATTTTCATTTCAGAACCAACGTCCCCAAAATGTAACTCAACAGTACCGTTATCCCCAACTTGAATCATATTATGAGCGAACTCCTGACAATTTGTCAAGACAATCTACCGTAAATTTTGGATTTGAACAGATGAGATCGCAGCCTATTATAAATAGGACAGCACAAGAACCCCTTTTTGATCAAACCATTCCACAAAAGCCTATATATGAGCAATTTTCTGAAGACGTTTCCTATAGGCAAGCTGTAGTAAACCGAAGCTTTGGGTTGGTAAACCAACATCCTACCCAATACCACCAAGTTCATTATCCATATCAGCAAGTACAATCTGATTTTTATAATACTAACAATCCTGTGTACGAACCAAGCTCTGAAGCCCTCGCAATCAGACAAGATTATTTACGAGCCCAATTGGCAAATACTTCTTTACCCACCCAGACTGATTTTAGTCAAATTTTTCAAGACCCTTGTATAGGTAATTCTTTGCCGTTTCAAGGCCAACAATTTTCTGATGCGCGAAGTCATCAACCTCTTTATGGCTTAACCCCCCAGCCCTCAGCTTTTGTTGAACCTCAACAATCTGTTTGCGAACAAAACTCACATATGTTTCATGGGCAAATTCACGAACAAGCAGTTTCCAGACATGGACGTGCAGGTATATAGCAACTCTTATGAGCAGTGTCAATAAATTGATGAATCAGTGTGTTAGTGAAATACTGTTATTGCCAGAAGTGAAAAATACTGTGAATAGACGTTATTTTTCTACATACAAACATAACTAATAATGTTTCCTGTGCAGTGTATTGTTAAATTATTGTATATCGACATTGTAAGTAATAGAAGTTGAATAATAATCAGGAAATTGTTTTTGGTGTAAATATTTGAAAAATAGTATACCAAACAAAGTTGGAATATTTTTGTAAGTGATGAACTAAAAATATATTGTGTTTAATTAATCAAAGGACACTTGCGTCCAACCAATTTAGTTACTTTGCTTGTTTCATCAAAAATGAAATGCATTCCACTAAGTTTATTGTATTGGGAACATTGAAAAATGCTCTTTTTCCTGCATATTGGCTGCGAGTCAACAAATTCGAAATTGCATTAACCACTGAAGATTCCCAGGTACTCGCATTTATTAGTGAGTTTCAATAAAATAATTAATATTTTGTTAAAGCATAATTACACGATTCATTATAAACAATAATCGCATTATGAAAACTATTTTGGTTTGTAAATAAACATGACTACACTAAACATAAATTATTATCGTAAAGTATGGAGCGCTGTAAATATTTTTAACGATTCATAGACCATAGCACCATAGTTATTATAACGGTTAATTTAACGTTTTATCCTTTTTGATGTACTTATATTTGAATGACTAAAGACTTGTATTGGATCATACACGCCACTGAATCAGTGTATTGAAATTATGAATGAATAATCGCAATATATCGAATCGACTGTCGTTTATAAACGGTTGTATAAATAAATAAGTGTATAGACTATAAGATGTTAGAAAACTAACCTTGTTTAAATCATACTGATGTTAGTTTTCTGTTATTTTTTTTTTATTAATTATGGTTCTGTAACTCGGTTCGTTGAACCGACAGAAAAAGTTCGTTTAATAATATATTACTATTTATTTATTGACAATTTATATTTAATTTAGTTTAAGTTATAGTCTGTAGTTAGGTGACATAAACTGAATGTGAATGTTTTTCCATAGTTGTAATAATTATTACCTAGCCTAGCATAGTCATAGATAAATTTATTAGCCGGCAAAATAATATTTAATATAAAATCTTCAATGATTTGCAGTTAAACATTTTGTTTAGAAATTACATTATACAATATTCCTACTGTCTTTTAAGTAGTTCTAAGCATTACTTGTTAAGTTAAATTCCGGCTGAGTTAACGCACTTTTAGTTCCTTGTATAGATTTAAATTACATTATAATAAATAATCAACATAATATATAAATATACTAGTAGCTGAAACAATAATGTTCTTCATAAAAAGTAGTGTCGATCATAATCAATTTTTAATTATACTTATAGAGTTCTTAGTCCACAATAACATTTGGCAATATTTCGGCAACGGTTTTAATTTTAAAACGAAATTCCTGTGACTAAAAGTTATAAAAATCTGTTAAATAAAAAATAATTCAACTTTATTATGAACGTTTTATTTTTTGGTATTCCCCTTCTCTCAATACATACATTATGTACATACGATGACGTACAACAATTGTCAGCCATTTTTCGAAATGATTAAGTGCACCATATCAACCCTAAATTGCATTGAAGTGAAAACTTTGCATTTTGATTTATTATGTAAAAACAAACAGGCAAAATGTAGATAAAGAGTAAAACGAAGGCAACTTAATATACTGCTGACAGTCATGCAATATGTTGGCATTTAATAAACAAAATAATACTCTGTAGAGGCACTTATGACTTTCGAAATAGCATTGCAAAGTTCCACCTACATACTACAGCAGAGAATACTAAGTGTATAAATAAAATCTTGTGTAGGTTTCCCTCCTACATTCACATTCATCTCTATTGAATTACCTAATCTAATAAGAAAAAGGACTAAACATCATGTTCCTTTTTTACTAGGAAAATAGTGAATTTAAGAGGTACTGTCAAAGGGTCAAATAAATCATGACTACATGAAAATGATGGTTACAGTATAATCATATTAGTAAAGGCTCTACATACACATACAAACAACACATAATAGGTAACCTCTCCATTGTTGTAAAAGGTACCTTTTTCCCATACCTGATGTTCCATATTTTACCAGAAAAATGTACCTGAACTGATGGTCCACACGAGATTTCCTGTACCTAAAGTAAGTATTAAATTGTTCTCCAGAAGCAACGTCAAAAAGGAGTTTTAACTGCAGTACTCAAGGACATTTAACGAATACTTAGACTACGTTTTCGGTCGCGGAGAACCTAACGGGTTACCGGGGTTCCGGCTCGATGTGCAGGAGAAGGAACGGGGTGGTTTTTAGTCAGTAAGAGTCTGACACACCCCCACCCAGGCGGGAGCAGTCATTCGATGATTTTCCCCCCTTAAAAAGACTACCTTTTCTGAGTAATAACTTCTCCCACATTAAGTGAGACGACAGGAGGTGTCAGATTCTTATTGACTAAAAAAAATCTCGTTTCTAATCTTACTTCGAGTCGAGGCCCAGTGACCCCGCAAGGTTGTCCGTAGCCCCGGACTTAGACTACACATCAATCCACGATTTTCCTCCGAAAATTGTCGAAAGGGACTGGGTTAAGTAAACAATACATAACGATTCTGACTAAGGATGTAAGACTTCAAGACAATTTCCAATATGTTGGAACTGCAATGCACGTTAATGAACAGCCATTGGTCTAGTTTCACATGACAATGTAATTAATAGGAAATACAGTTAAGTTCTTGTAACTAACAGAAGTTTTGCTACACAACTATAAAGTACTAAACACGGTCAAACTGTAACTCTAGGGGCTTCAACATTGTGACCCATTTATAAGTAAATTGTACGGAAAAGTATTCTATAATGTTGGTTTTTTTGGGATAAGCCGGTATACGAGCAGATGGATCACCTGATGGTAATCAATTGGCGCCGCTCATAGTCACCTAAAACACCAGAGGCGGTACCGGCCTTCTGGGGTTTAGGTAAATACCTCTCTTCTCTTATGATTATCAAATGAGAATCGTTGGGAATTCGGGGATTGGGGAGATTGATAATTGTTCCCAGGTATTGATATCTGATTTCAAATCTACTTTTCTGTTAATAGGTACCGTATAACCTTACTTATTTTTGAGGTATATGTGCTAACCAAAATATCGTTTAAACATTCAAAAACTTTGTAGTTAAGCGAAATATGCATGGAGTTAATAAGAATGCTTATTAAGTTTAAAAAGTAAAAAAAAAAAACTTTTTAATTTTTTTTCTACGATTTACACCTTTTGCCACTAACTGTACTCAGCTTTCCTCTATAAAATATTTTGCTTTCCTTTAAATCTACATTATAACATTATAATTGGTTCTCGTAAATGTATCTAAGTACAATCACATGCTAAAGTTTAATGGCTGCAATTTCCGAGGAACGTAAATACATACTTAAATCCCACATACCATACGATAGGGACTACCTATATTTTAATGTTAATATCATGTTTATCTGGTGGACTAATTTAAATACATATGTATTTCTTTTCTAACAGATTAAAATACTTTTGACGATAATTATATTGATTTCAAATGTCGTAGAACGCCAAGACTTACTACATTTCGTAGGGATCGGTGACGTAAGTAGCTCCCTCTCCTAAACTTTAATCTAAGAATTGTTTTTAAAAAAATACGTTTCTAATATTTTTTCATTATTAATATTTTACATTTAATAAATAGATGTTTAATTTTTATACCCTGTCAATTCCATGAATGGGTCGCAGAATGCTGCTTATGAATATGAGCCTCTAGCATGGCTTGAAACTAGTCGAGTTCCCAGTCAAATAATTACGTGAGTAAGACGAAAACATAATAATGAATTTCTAGTTCTATATTCAAGTCTTAAACCTTCAATGTGGGGAATAATTAGTAATTAAAATTAATATAGGTACCAGAAGCCTGCACTAAGAAATATTCTAAATTATACATATTAATTCCATAGAACGACGAGAGATGACGAGCGAGTCAGCGAGGAGAAGCGATTTAAATAAAATTAAGATCTTTTGTACCACACTGTACCTGAACATAACGGGTGTATTAACTTCAAGTAATTGCCGAGATACTATTACCAACTAGGTAACAACCAGACACTAACTTATTCGCTCCAATAAATTATCCGGAAGAATACCCAAGAAAATCAACCATGCACACATTTGGTTTAGGAAACGCAACCTTACTGCTAACAAAACAAAGACAAATGATGGTAAGAATGACATCATATTTTCACGCTCACTAGTTCACCAATCAATGGAATACCAATGATATAATTAACTTGACAATTCCCAATAATAAATTATACCCAATCCTAGATTCCTCGTACGTTCGCAGTGTGGTTGTCACGAAGAATCGCCCAGAAGCTTCTTTTAGAGTTAGTAGCTGTCAGAGAGGCGCGCGCGCTGTCCTGAGTTATGCTCATTTAATTAAAACAATAAATAAACCGCAGCTGGGCGGTTGGGTGGTCCCATCGGATGCCTCTTTTAAAAATTCCAACTTTTATCAGTACGGAGAATATCTTTTTACGTGTAAAACTGTTTCCTTATATATGTGGTTGCTGAGATTGAGGTCTGTTTGGGTTTAAAAGGTCCTTATTAAGTACGGTACATCATTTATCAATAAGACACAGCGTCAGTTCTCGGTTTTTGCGTCTGTTGACACTCTTTTTGAGTCTTGTTTTGGTTGAAGATGGTGTAGAACCTGCTGAAAAAATCAACACCTAAAGATTACTTTAAGTATACATGAAGAAAAAACAGTAAAATAGAAACATTTTTCATACAAACAGGTAAATACATCTTTATTGAAGGCATTCATCACCAATGCATAAACCTCTACAATATTTTCAAATAGAAGTTAACCAAAGATTAAGACTACTTATTTATGAAAAAAACGAGGCTAGTTTAATTTTGATATTACAACCAAAACAAACAAAGTTCAATAGCCAGTTTCAGCTATTTTTTTTATAAATTTCTCTGCCTATCTAAGTACCTACAAAAAAAAAATGTGTTTATTAAGAATCCCCTAAAATACAATTTCAATACAGTGCCTTTAGCCAAACACCACTTTAGCGCTTGTCTACAGAGAGAGTAGAAAACTAAATGTATGGGGGTGACACTGACAAGTGTCAAAATTTACGTCAATCCCATATAATTTGGTTTTCTATTCTACACGTAGACAAGCGCTAAATGGCATTTGGCTACAGCTGCAGGTTTGAAGACAGTATCAGAATTAGAAGAGTATGTCTGCATACTTATCGTGTTTGACGCCATTCTTTCAAACAAAGTTCAAGAATTATGTCAACAGTGCAAAAACTGCACACTGGTTGGATTCACAGTATGCCCGCAAAAGTTGGTCTAGACCACAATACCACTGTGATTGACATATTAGCATATATTTTGTAGGTGTAATTCCTTTTTGATTTGGATGGTCACAAGTGCAATTACTTTTTGGTAATGGTATCAAAATTAAATTATAAGATAATAATTTAACTTAGATTAATATTAAGTACAAATTAGACTAAAAACTTTACTGATGAAAATAAACAATTATAACAACATAACATAACATCACGTTTTTTATTCCTTAGGGGGTAGGCAGAAGTGCACATTACGGCACTTATTGCCACTGTAAATAAGCAATTATCTGACCAATTACCTATGCATAATCGATTCTAGTGACAGATATCTCTTGCTAATACTGAACAAGACGTAATACAAAATACAAAAAATCACAGCTTTTAAAGACAATCGTTAATTATATGATCATGATAAACGGTTAAACCCAAATGATTAATAGCAACAATGCCAGCTCGACACTACGTCATAATTGTCTACAATACACTTATCAGTTGCTGGGGCGTAACAAATCGCCAGAATTACAAACAAGGGGTGTTCTCTCAACAATGCATTCTGATTGTTGATATAACATTAATATTGTTTGCATTTGCTATTAACTTTTTTCCAACATGGATTAAGTGCATTAAGAATCCCTTGTACCAACACCTGCTACTTTATGCAAATATACACATACTGTACATGCATAAAATTAAGCATTCGATTCTTGATGTGGCCGTTACAATTAGTTTAAAAGCATTTGCGATCACGTCTCTCGTACTATAGTCGTTTAAATACCATGCTAATTCTGAAGGTAGTTAAATCTGGAATGTTCTTGAGAATTGTCGGAAATTATGATTGAGTTCGTTGTAATGTTAATGAACAGTAGCACACTATTATGAAGGAACAATCAATGGAATGAAGATATGAAGATAATAAAATAGCAAAATATTTTTTTATAGATGAATTTTAAAGATAATTTTGTTTCAGTAATAACAATCTGTTACTTGTCACACGTATTTAAAATGGACGTAAAGGTCTTCCGAGTTCCTTTATACAATATTACTCGTATAAAGAAATCCGAACCACAGACATCGAAGCGATACCCTTTCAA